TAACAACATAAGATATGCAGATGACAGTACTGATAGCAGACACGGAAAAAAATGACAAAATCTCCTAAAGAAGGTAGCGACGGAGAGTGAGAAGAAAGGACTAAGATACAACAAGACAGAATACATGATCATCAGTAAAAGTATGAGTCCGAAATGCCATCTGCAGGTCGGGAACACTAGAATCAAGCAAACACGGAAGTTTAAATATCTAGGAAGCGTTTTGAAAGAGGGCGGTAAGTGCGACCCTGATATCCGTAGACGTATTGGGATGGCCAAGCACGTATTCCAATATCTGGGCAGAGTATTGTGAGACAGGAGGATTTCTTTGGTAACGAAGAAAAGAATACTGAGCTGTTACGTGACATCTGTCCTTCTTTACGGGAGCGAATGCTGGACGATTTCCTCAAAGACGAAGAAGAGACTCGAAGCGACATAGATGTGGTTTCACAGAAAGATGCTCAGGATATCATGTAACGATCGTGTGAGCAACGATGAGGTCTTAGAGAGGAGGCAAACAAGGAGGAGGCTTATACTTAACATCAGGAAGAGGCAGCTGGAGCTTCTGCGACGCATAATGAGGAAGGAGGGTCTGGAGAATCTGATACTCACAGGTCGAATAGAGGGAAAAAGAGACAAGGGAAAACGACGCGTGACATACCTACGCGTTTAAGTAAGTGGGTGGCAGAACATGGTCTGGGGAAGGAAGCATAGAGAATGAACTTGTTGAGAGCTGCAAGGTATAGAGGTGTTTGGAGAGCCATGATCGCCTACGTCCGGAAAGGACATGAAACATAAAAAGAAAGACATGAGTACATTTTTATTTTATTTTAGATGATAAATACATTTGTAGCTATTTGAAAATTGCTGACTCGCATTTACACATTTTCTCCTATAACCAAATGCATTCCATTCAATTTTATGTCGAAGAAAACAATAAAGAACAGGATGGAAAGTAATTAAGCTATAGTGTTCGACAGTAATTGGTTAATGTGCAAAATAACTCGACGCAGATGACCCGTTTCCGTGTAGTTGCCAGTCAGGCAAAATTTCCAATTATAAGCAGAAATATTGATTCCAACGCAGTTCGGGAATTATTAAACAAAGAATGATTCCAAAGACGCTGATTACTCAAAAGCCGTTTATGTAATTATAAGATATGACGTTCAGCATCTTCTCCGAAAACGTGGAAAAACAAAAGCAGGCATCAACAAATGATGTTTCACACGCAGTTTGTTCCAAACAGTGACCCGTGTGCAAAGAAAATATTTTAAAGCAAGCCAATAACAAAAAGATGTACAAAATGAAAGAAACTACCTTGAATAGAAATGCTAGCCTTGGCAAGTGGGTATTTAGTTTGTATTAGGTAAATTGAAGTGTGTTGGAGAGAGAAAAAGAGTCAAAGGGTTAGAGAAGACCCATGTTGTAAATTATCAAGAAAGGGCAGTATGAAGAAAGTTACTCAACCAATGACTGCAAGGGGTACTTTAGCTGATCACTTGAAAGAAACAGACACGGAAATCGATATAGTTCCTTGGAATGAATTAATGTGAAAGTTAGAGAAGCAAGAAAGATATGACAGACACATGGCAAGGGAAAAAAACGACAAGAGAAAGTAGACAAGATAAATATGAAGAACTAACACATGCTTTGAATAGAGACATTAGGCAAGATGAAGAAGGAAGCATTAATGGAAGAAGAATTAAGAAGAAAATTAAGGAACTGAGACGTAAGATAGTGTGAGAGTGAGAGTGGAAATAAAGAGGATATAGGAAGAGAATAGAGAGGGAAAGGTAGAAAGTTTAGAGTGAGAGTGTAAGATAGGAACATAGAAGAGTTAAAGTGAGAGTGAGAATAAATAGCTTATAAGAAAGAGAATAGAAATGGAAAGATAGAAGTGTTAGAGAGAGAGAGAGTGGAAGATAGAAAGAGTCAGAGTGAAAGATATAAGGGTTAAAGTAAGAGTGAAAATAAAGAGGACATGAGAAGAGAATGAAAAAGGAAAAATAGAAGTGAGAAAGACGCATGAGTGAAATGAGGAAAAAGGAGGGACAAGGAAAAATAACGGGACGAGAAGATTGATTAGTATAAAAGAGGACGATAATATGATAAAAAAAAAAATGGATGAAGAGAAAAGATTAAAGGCGGACTAAGAAAGACATACATTAATGGCGGACAAAGTAGAAAATATTTATGCCGGACAAAGAAAGAAAGAAATTAATGACGGTGAAGGAAAGACAAAAATTATAGGCGGAGAAAGAAAAAAACAGAATACGTATGGCGGACTAAGAAGAAAAAATAATGGCAGACATAGAAAGAAAGAAATTAATGTAAGGAAAAAAATTATAGATGGACAAAGAAAAAAATTGTGAAGGACAAAGAAGGAAAGAAATTTTAGACGCACAAAGAGTAAAATGGCGAAAACAGAAGTAATAAATTAATGACCAGAAATGAAGGAAATAAATCCATAAACATTGAAATAAGAACAGAAATGAGAACAATCGTCCGGATGTAAATGGATAACCTTAATTTTTGGTAACAGTCAATATTTTTACTTAAATTCTAATGAAAGTTAATTTTTTTTTCTTTTCAAAATCGTATAACAACGCCATTTTCATTAAATTCTCTTGACAATTTTCCCAGAAGCAAGAAGATTTCCCTTAAATTCTCAAGAAAGCAATATTTCTTTTTACATTCTGATAAAAGGAAAAAATATTTTCCCTTAAAATTTAATAACAAACAATTCATTTTCATCACAAATTCTGAAAACATGCAATATAGTTTTCAAGTAAACAACTTTTAACAACTTTTTCATTTATAATCTGATGACAAATAAACATATTGTCTATTAAATTCTGGAAATAGTTAATTTTTCAACTGAAATCTGATAACAATCTATACTTTTTTTATTAGATTCTCGTAAAACTCCTATTAAATTTCCTATTAAATTCTAATAACATCAGATTCTTTTTCTGTTAATTACTGATTACAACCAACACTTTTTCCAATAAAATCTGATAATTATCAATACTTTTTTTTACATTAAATTCTTATAAATCTAATTTGAATCCATTGAATTCTGATATCGAACAATTTTTTCATTTAGCTACTGATAACAACCAAAATTTTCAATTAAAATGTGATAACAGTCAATAAGTTTTCCATTAAACTCTAATAAAACTATCACTTGTTCCCATTAAATTCTGATAACATCTAACACTTTCCATTAACTTCTCATACCAACTGAGACATTTTCTTTTAAATTTTGAGAAGCATATTAGTCACTTAAATTCTTAAAACATTCAATAATATTTTATCGAAATTCGGAAACTATCATCGCTTTTTTGTATCAAATTCTGATAACAATCAACGTGGTTTCTCTCAAATTATAAAAAGAAATCGATCGTTTACTTAAAAACAGATTAGCAATAATTTTAATCTTCAATTCCGATAATACTTTTAAATTTAAATACTTAAATTTTGATAATACACAATATTTTTCCCGTTACATTAGAATAACAACCATGATATTTCCCTTCATATCTGATACCATACGCTATAATCTCTTTTCTTTAAATTCAGATAAGTAATGCTTTTCTCGTCATATTCTAAGAACATGCCATAATCCCCACCACTCTTCAAAACCTGATACAAATCTAGTACAGCAGACAATACACTGCCTTCCTTAACTTCAATATCTGCAAACTAATATGTATGCAATGCTCAGAACTCAACAACTATAGCGATCAAAATACAATAGGCTGACATTTTCTAACAAGTTGTATGTATTTTCTAAAACATGTTTTCATCTCTGGTTGGCTTCACGACCAAAAGGTACAATATACGTATTATGCCATTATTCAATGTTTTTCCCAAAAGGTCACAAGAAGAGAAATCTCAAACAAAAGCGCCTGGCAGCGTTCTACTAGAGAAAGGAAGCGTCAATAAGGAATATATGACATCATTCTTTTAGCGTAATAGGCGTCCATTATGGATGTAGCTCTAGTATAGCGGTTCGAGGTTGTCAAAAAGAAATCAGTGAGCCGAGTTCAATTTCCAACCGGGTTCGTTAAAATCACATTCGCGCAGTCACTTTTTTTGGGAAAGGTTTGGCTCCATAAATTATCCATTCCTCCAGTTATGTGCTTATATTGCATATCTGGCTGAGCACTCTTTACTTGAGGTGGTAGACAGTTTAGAAGACGGAAGTTTCTGAATTCAAAACAAACGCGAAGAATGATAACAGGTTTGTTTGCTCTAGGTTCACCACTGCTGCAATGGTTGCAGTATATGCAGTGCCCCAACGTCCATAATGGTTTACGGGACCGGTGATGCGCTGTGAGGCTCTCATAGCACAATAGATAATGGTTATGCATAGTTTTTCCTGGGAGAGTATGATACAACTCAAAATTTTAGTCACACTGAATCAGAGAATATTTTACAAAACAAAAGATGCGACTTTTTTCTTCAGGACGAAGTGTCAGAGTATATATTGTTCAATTAACCAATCTCAATAGGTCTGCCTATAGTCTGACTGTGAATCAATGTATCTATTGTTCGATTAAACAATCTCAGTGTGTTTGCCTATAGTCTGACTATGAGTCAATCAATCTATTATTCGATTAAACAATTTCACTATGGTCGCCTATAGCCCGACTATGAATCAATGTATCTATTGTTCGATTAAACAATAACAGTGTGTTTGCCTATAGTCTGACTATGAGTCAATAAATCTATTATTCGATTAAACAATTTTACTATGGTCGCCTATAGCCCGACTATGAATCAATGTATCTATTGTTCGATTAAACAATAACAGTGTGTTTGCCTATAGTCTGACTATGAGTCAATAAATCTATTATTCGATTAAACAATTTCAATATGGTCGCCTATAGTCCGACTATGAATCAATGTATCTACTGTTCGATTAAACAATCTCAGTATGTTGACCTATAGTCTGATTATGAATCAATGTATTTATTGTTCGATTAACCAATCTCATTATGTTCGCCTATAATCCTTCTCTTATCTATCTATCTATCTATCTATCTATCTATCTATCTATCTATCTATTCTTATTGTTTCAGTTGGGTGTTAATTTTAGAACTGAGACTCGCTTCTCTGTTCTTATCCCCTTCTAGCGTCCTTTTTATGCCTCAAGAGCGCATTCACAATAACCGAGACAGACTTATTTAACGTGGGCCATCGTAATGTAGCCTCTGATTGAATGTTTGTGGTGCAACAACCATGTGATGTTTTTAGAGGAAACAATTCAGGCCGTCGTTCGTTGGAGCGCTACGAAAGGAAGAATATTTTCAAAGCACTTCGCATTTGGTTAAAAATGTGCAAAGAATAGCGGAAACACTCAGGTAGAAACAAATAGGAAAAACGGAAATACGAAGAAATAAGCCCCTATCACACACACACACACACACACACACACACACACACACACACACACACACACACACACACACACACACACATATATATATATATATATATATATATATATATATATATATATATATATTGATCGTCATTGTTTATTGAAGTTGGCAAAAGATATATCAACGAATTTGCAAAAACTGTCTGGGCAGGTAATTTAATGACCAGAGAGAAAATTCCTAAAGCATGCGTTCTCGAACCGACTGTTTCTTTTCTCCATTATCGTCTGCCAGGACCAAAGACTGAATGAATAACGGATGATAGAGCAATGCACAGGACACTGGGTTTGTCCAAGGTCAGTATGCTGATTCTTTTTTCCAACTTTACAAGTACCTCACTATCTATCTATCTATCTATCTATCTATCTATCTATCTATCTAAGCTTATTCAAATGTATCTATCTATCTATTATTATTAGTATCATGATTATTATTATTCCCTTTTCCAAGTTTACACGTACACCACTTTTTATCTATTTATGTATCTATCAATATTATTACCATTATTATTATTATCGTTATTGTCATTATTTTTCCCAAGTTTACATGTACGTCACTATCTATCTATCTATCTATCTATCTATCTATCTATCTATCTATCTATCTATCTATCTATGTGAAGATGAAGAGAGAGAGAGAGAGAGAGAGAGAGAGACTGTGTGTGTGTGTGCGTGTGTGTGTGTGTGCGTGTGTGTGTGTGTGCGTGTGTGTGTGTGTACTAAAGACGCGTTTCGCCAAAGCATTTGCTCACTTTGTCTTCCACAGGTTAGAATGAAATAAAAGCAATACTGTATGTGAGGGAAAAGGCCCTGGTTTCTCTGAAGATACATAGTAACCATAAATCAATTAAAATTCCTTATCACCTCCAATGGCCGAACTCATTGTCTGTTCGCTTGTTTGGTTGTTTTATCTATATCAGACTAGTTTGATGTTGTTGGATCTATCTATCTATCTATCTATCTATCTATCTATCTATCTATCTATCTATCATTATTATCTCTATCTATAAAAGACAGGATGTGTGTGTGTGTAACGAATGCACGGCCGCAATTTTCGACGGATTTGCACCAACATTTACATGAACATGCTCCAAGTTAGCGTGAAGGCCAAGACTGACTTTGCATTTCTCAACTCCCATCGATAGTGGAAATAATCGATTTTTTCATGCTTCTACGGCAGTTTTCATGTAGTTTGCGGCCATTTTCTACTGGCCAGAGTGAGGGCCAATAGCTAGCTGCCACGAATAGGTAGGAAGATTCTATTGGCCAGCGTGAGAACCAACAGCTGACTGACACGAATGTTAACTAGCATGAAAAAAAAATCGATAGCTGCATTCGTCACAAGTGGGAAAAATTTAAATCTGCATGGCACTTTACTCATTCGCTTGCTTAAACTCAACGTTGATTCTGATTCCGCAGAACTGGGTTAAACGTGAAAAAGTATTTGTTGTTAACATTCTTTTTTCATTCGGTTTTTCGAGTTACGAGTCCTTTTTTTTAAAGCTGATCGTTTTGTGTTCATTTCGTTTAGTTCTTTTTTTGTAACAGATTTAATGTTTAGTATAGAGCTTAGAAAAAATTCGCAGTGTGAGATAGGCAAGAAGTAAGGCATGTAGCAACATCAGCACGGCGAAGGGCACTCCTTTAAAGGCAAGGAAGGGCAAAAATATTTTAAGTCAAGTGATAGCGATTGCTGTATGAGTCGTACGATTTTTGAATCAAGCACGGGCAACGCCGGGCCATGCTGCTAGTTATTATTATATGGGAAAGTAACCAAGTGGTTAGAAGGTTCGCTCACCGACCATGAGACCCGGGTTCGAATTTCACCATGCTCGATTTTTCAGGAAGGTGATTTCTTGATGTTATTGTCTGGAAAGTTCGGATCAGTTCGGAAAGTACCTGAAACACATACCACGTCTTGATTCAAATAGATGGAACTATTTGAGAGCCGTCGATGGTTGAGCTCGCAAGACATCGTGACCGAGAGTTTGAGCACAAGTAGTCTTATTCACGCCAGAAAATGCGCCCTCTCCCAGAAACTGTAACTAAGGTCCGTTAAGTATAGTTGCAGTGTAAACCACAGGGTGACACTGTGGGTGTTGAACAATTACAAATATACCAGAGTAGGTGTTTTCATTAGGGATTGTCTAGACGCTTTAGAAGACAGGCTATGAGCGGCCAGCAATTAAATTTGCTTATTATTGCTTATTATAATAATTAGTGTGGGTATGAAAACAATGATTTGACATTCCTGTGTTTTTAAACAATTCTATTATATTTCTACCGGTCTAGATATTGAAAGTCTTATTAAATGTCATCCATTGGCTTCTTGAACAACTCCCGTTAATAATACTTTAAATCTCTCTAACTATAATTTGATTTTTTTACTGTTTTTACAAAAATTCTATATCAACTGCAACCCGTTCATTCATAAAATAATTTTTCTATAGCAACAAGTTTAATAACTCATCAAAAAAGTTGCATTAATTTTTTTTTTTTTAGGTTGTATTTCCAATTAAGAAAAAAATGTTGAAACTTGATTAATATGGAATAATAATACAACACAAAATGTACAACAAAAAATGTATTGAAACAAGAAGATAATGATTGACAATACATATAAATTTGGTATATTCTTTTTGTCTGAGCATTGAATGTAATACTTAGTATAGTGGCATCAAGAGTCTCTGGATTGAATCTCTTTATTCTTTCCTCTATCTTCCCGGTACCAATCATATTTATATGGTCGGTACTCACTATGTAAATTAGATGGATCCTACCACAACAATAAAGTTAGCTGTTATCGACATCGGATGGCTGCAACGAGAGATGTGCATTTCTTAAATAGATTAAGCATCGCTTTGCTGTAATGGCATCAATTTAAACATCATTCTAATAGTAACAAGGCTGATTGGTGCTAACAAAAATTAAAACGTGAATACAGGTTTGATTCCTGTTGAGAGGAACATTCTCTTTAATTAATAAGAATTTTTATATTTCTCTGTTATAAAAAGAGACCTCTACTCAAATACATGTATCCACTAAACATATTTTTTGAGTAATTAAAAATATCCGAGAGTTCTAAAAAAATATTAAAATAAACATTAATTAACCAATCTCAGTCATCCTTGGTTCCATCAGCACTGACTCTTGCACCATGGATCCACCATATCACATACATAAGTGTGAATCATCCACATTCCTTTCGCATTCCGTCACAATTAAAGTATGAGAAATAATGACAAAATTCTTCCGAAGAACAGTTAAGCTAATGAGGTAAAAAAACTTCAGATATTTTCCTTATCACTGCGATCATTCTGTTCATATCTATCTATCTATCTATCTATCTATCTATCTATCTATCTATGTCCGTACGTATTCGGATACAGGATGGTTGAATGATCAAATATTGCATAATAATGTTAAATTTTGAATGGAAATTAAAAGATAAAAATTTTTTTTTTTTTATATAGTTGATTATAATATTTTCAGGAAATTATAATTGATTAAAAAATTATATAAAAGAATAAAAAACCTGTATAATTTTTTTTTTTTAATTTAGAAACCTTTAGGGTAAATTCTATCTTCAGGTACAGCAATGGAGTTTTTACATATCAAAAAAGGAGAACAATTCATTACAACCTACTTCACATCTGTAACTGTTTGAAACTATGACATTAAAACTTTAAAAACTATAAAATTTAATTTAGAACTCTATTTGTCTATATATTTGGCGGATTTTACCTTTTCATATTTTCATCCATGACCAGGCATATATATATAATATATATAAATATATAAATGTTGCATTTCTGTCTGTTTGTAAGAATGGAATGGAAACCTGGTAATCAGAGAGCAAACCAATATTCATTAAGCAGATGATAAGACTCACTTTTGAAATATTCCCATGTTTTAGGACCAATTACTTAAAAATTAAAAATTAAAATGTTCAGGAAAATTCATAAACAGGCAAAAAACTAAAAGATTGCAGCTCATTAGGTTTCATTTTTCAAAATTCGTGAAATTGTTTTTAGTCAACTCTGTGGGTGTCAAAATTGTGCTATAGAAACATGAATCATGAACATGCGAAAAAAACGAAAGGAATTTTTGGGCATTTGACATGGAAATTGAAATCGATTTTAAAATTTTTACCACTGCGTCTTTAAAAAAAGGTTGCTGGATGGAAAGTTCATTACCTCCCCTACAAAACCCTGTAAACGATTTTGAGCTCTATCAAAGCTAGAAAGTAAGAGTTTTATCAAATTTAAAAAAATTATGCAGTACCCCCGTTTTTGGGACTAATCTGATTCTTTATAAAAAATTCTTTTTAACATATAAGAAATTATCCGTTCCCTTTAAATTCCCGACTTTCTGAAAACTTTAAGCGTGCTAATCTTAGATCCTGGCATTTTAATCCCACTCTTTTTTCTGTTTAAATAGTTTAATTTAACATTGGCATTTCCATTATTTCCCGTCAAAAAAAAAAAAAAAAAAAAAAAAAAAAAAATAACTACAATGATTCAAAAATTTAATAAATTTATAAAAAAAATTTTTTATTCAATTTTTTTTACGTTCATATTTTAAAAAGACTTTTCCTCAGTTACCCCAAACATTAAATTTTTCATTTTCACTTTCACTTTCATCTCTGTTAAAAAAAAATCTTTCTTTTTTTACATCAGCTATTTTACATGAAAAAAATAAATTTCTAGAATATTTTAGTGAGCTGATTTTTTTTAAATAGAATTAACAGTTTAAAGGTTTATTTGGACATACTTTAAATTATGAAGTTAAATTAACACCTAATAGTTCCCAAAGCACATGTAAATGAAATATTTCATTAAGGAAAATGGAAATTGTTCATTGAATATTGGACCTCATAATTATTTGTATTTTATTTTACGAAATATTTTAATTTTTAATTTTTATATTATTTTATATATATATATATTTTTCATATATATATATATAAAAATTAAAAATAAATAAAAATAATATATAAAATTATAAAAAATTATATATATATATTTATAAATTTTAATAAATTTATATATATATATATTTAAATTTGAAAAACCGACTTTTATGCTGTCACCAAGGCTATAAAGAATAAAATTTAACCAAACAAAAAGGCAGTAAGTCTTTGTTTCTAAATTGAAATTTTTTTGTTTTAATAGTTTATGTAGTATTTAAATTAGTTCACATCTTTTTTATTTTGTCCCATCGTTCTTCTGTCCTTCAGAATTAGCTAACAAATAAAACGTGAGTACCAAGATGTCAATTCGAATTTTTTTAAACATGTTTTTCAAGGTATTCATTTCACCAAAAAAAAAAAAAAATTATTTCTCATACATCAGCGATTCTTTACTAATATATCCAGAGACATCATCATGTTCTTCATCAAACAGGTGGCATTTATCTTTTGTTTGTATTCATATATATATATATATATATATATATATATATATATATAATATATATATATATATGCTATGATTGAAAAATCTTTTTTATGATTTTCATATATGTTGCATGGAAAATTGAATTCAAAAAAAAAGTAGATTTTTCACTTAATTATTTTTCATTAAAAATTTTCCTGACTTTGGATAATGTCTATGATTGTTATAACACAGCCTAATGCCCTTTGTTCAATATAGTTTTCGGGTCGGTTAGGTATGTCAGGATGGTGGCTGTTTGCCTCTGCGCAAGAATATTTGCCAATAATCTCGAGGTCAATATTATTTGATTTTTTCACTCTTTTCTAGTCTGTTCTTTTATCTAACAGAACGTGAACAATCGAATGAAAGGTGAAGATTTTTTTTTCATCCTTTCGATAAATAAATTCGAGATTTAAATATAATGAGCCTAGATAAATAAATAATCCATCATCCATCTATCATGATCTATCTATCTATCTATCTATCTATCTATCTATGTGAATAGGTGTGATTTGGAAAAATACGAAAGTGTAGAAAATATGGAGATAAAAGTTGTACAAAAAGAGACATTTAAATATAAACATTTACTATGGTCATATATATGTAAGGGTATAAATGGAAAAAAAGAAAATCTTCAAATACAACTCTTGATAAATAAATAAACGAACAGCAAAATAAAATAAATTTTTTTTTCGAAGACATGAAAAAATTATCGGCAAAAGAATGTGAATAAGTAAACTAGGAATAGATAGAACAAATAAACCAGAATAATTAAACCAGTAAAAGACATTAAATATCAGGTCATCCCATAAGTTCTGTCCGAATTTTGAAAAAAGAAAACAAGTGACCAAATGTTACATTTAATTACAGATTAAATCAACAATATATTTTCCCTGATTATCTATGACTTCCTTCCATCTATTAACAAGCTTACTAATTCCATTACTGTAAAATTCTTTTGGCTTTGATTCGAAGAACTCACAAATGTCAGTTTTAACCTCTTCCTGTGTTACAAAAAAGCTGTTTCTTCCAAATGATTCTGTAAGCTACGAAACAAATGGTAGTCTGAAGGAGCAAGATCGGGAGAATAAGGTGGATGAGGAATTTTCTCCCAACCAAGTTCTTCGATCTTTTGTGACGTGATTCTTGCTGTGTGGGGTCGCGCATTGTCCTGATGAAACATCACCTCTTTTCGATTCACTAGAGCAGGTCTTTTTTTTCCTCAAAGCTTGGTTCAAACGCTCTAATTGCTGACAGTATATTTGAGCATTAATTGTTGCATTAGGTGGTAAGAATTCAAAGTGGATTATTCCTTGGCGATCCCACCAGATTGAAAGAAGAACCTTTTTGCCCATGAAGTTCCATTCTCGGCTGTGGCTGGGGTCCTTCCCTTTACCAAGCCACTGTCTACGACGCTTAACATTTCGATAAAAGATCCATTTTTCGTCGCCAGTCACAAGTCTATCCAAAAAAGGTGAAACAAGTTGGCGAGAATGGAGAGAAGAGCAGATGTCAACTCAGGATTTGAGGTTGTTTTCAGACAATTCATGAGGCACCCATTTTCCAAGTTTAGGAACTTTTCCAAGTTGTTGAAGATGACGATGAACAGTTGTATGGTTTGAACTGAGAACCACTGCCAATTCCTCAACTGATAAAGCAGGATTTTCTTCAAGGGCTGCTTCAAGAAGCTTTTCATCAAACTCAACTGGACGTCCGGTTCGATCTTCATCTTCAAGGGTGAAATCTCCACCTCTGAATTTTGCAAACCATCTTCTGCAAGTTCTTTCATTCACACATTCCTCTCCATAAACTGAGTGAATGTTTCTAGCCGCTTCGGCTGCTGAGTTTCCTTTCTTGAACTCATAAAGCATTATGTGCCTCAAATGATTCTTGGGTACTTCCATGTTAGCAGGGTTTTAATCAAACAAAATTTAATTTTATTGTTCTCTGAAATAAAATTTGATCAGTTTAAATGCATCTAAACATAAAAATAATGTTCATTAGCTCCATTAGACATTATAAAATACTGACTTTAAATTTCGTTCATTTTAAATAACCCAAAATAAGTTCAAATAAGACTTCAGACATAAATTAACCTAATATAAAAACGAATACGCAAAACAATATAAGACTGAACTAGTTATAGTGGGTTATCAGTTATAGTGAAGTGTATGAGTGTTGAAGCGGATTAGTTTGATTTGGCCTTGTTAGTTAAATAGTCCACCATAAGAGGAGTATAAAACAAGAAAATCAAATTTTGTATTTTATATACATATAAACCAATTAAAACATTTTTTGATACAAGGTCGTCAAAATGTTCGTAGTAGTCCTTGCAAGAATGAGTTTATGTGTACTTAGGCAGGAACGTATGTGCGTATTATATATGTATGTATATTATCGTAGGGTAGGAATGTCTTTGAAAATCAAATCTTAAAAATTTCCTTTATCAAGTATTGATAAAAAGAATAAATTTAATCGCTTGACGTTTGTCAAATGACGTAATAACAAACTTTCTAAAAGATCATTTGGGGAATTTCGGGCCTTTCCAAAAAACTTCGAAATAATTGAAGATTTTTGAATTTTGTTTTAAATGTTTCATATTGGCCGATTTGCATCAAAAAGTTTTAAATTTTTTGCCGGGTTTTCTTTTTTTCCATTCGCTTTTCGTAATTAAGCAAAGTTTGTAAATGACGAGTCTTTTTAATTTCTAACAAAATCAATGAGTCAGTGATTAGCATTTGTATTTTCAATGTAGATCTAAATAGTAACACCGAATATATAACCCGATCTAAGACTGAATAAGTAATCCAGAATAATACCGAATAAAACCAATTTAAGATCGCATAAATAACCCAGTATAAAACTTAATAAGTATACCAGAATAAAATTAATATGTTAACCGGAATAATACCGAATAAATAACCCAATATAAGACTGAATATGTAAACCAGAATAAGAATGAA